GATTACGCATAGCTTCTCTTGCGGATTTATATCTTAAGCATAGCTTGGACCCCCCCCCCCCCCCCAAATACATTTTGCTGGATCTGCCACTTATGTATTCCTGGAAGTTACAGCCAGCAAGATTCTTGTTCATTTTCAGTGGTATAAGGTTCACAAAGATTGTACAGTAACATTTATCATTTATCTTGTTGACAGATATCATCGTCCCAAATGGTCTCAACGTCACCAAATTTCAAGCCATACACGAATTTCAAAATCTTCACGCAAAAGCCAAGGAAAAGATTAATGATTTTATTCGGGGTCATTTCTATGGGTAGGTATACTACTATACTTCTTATGACACATCACACTTAAAAAGAAGTGAATGGAATTGGGTCAGTGTTCTACATTACAATCAATTTTTGTGATCCAGTGATTGTTTTGTCAATCATTGTTATAAACAATTTTTTTGTGGTTTCAATAACTTGTCCAACCTTTTATTCGCCGTTCAGAAGAAAAGTCTGAAGAGAAAAACTTAAAGATACAATTCTGTATGACCATTCAATAGTTTAATTTTGATAAGAATAATGGTGAAAATGTTTGTTGTTTGTTCTAGGCATTATGATTTTGATTTGGACAAGACGTTGTATTTCTTCATTGCTGGTCGTTATGAGTTTACAAATAAAGGAGCTGATCTTTTCATTGAATCATTGGCAAGATTAAATCATTATATGAAGGTAAGTTCATTGATAAGGGTTTCCTTCAATGAAAGACACAAATTGATATAGTGACATATTTTTAACTACCTATAAGCTAGGATGATGATGTACGAGACTAAAATCCAAAAAGTTGTCTATTGAACCAAATGCTATTATTTCTGTAGGCACAGTGTCGTTTTGACTCGGGAACAAACAGAGAAAACGCTCTACTTTCGTAATTGACCTATCGTTTATTTGGGACATGGCGATATAACAACCTTACAAAAATCTATATTCTGTTGCTCAAAACAAAGTACCGTAAAAACCCTCAAATAAGAGCCACTTTGTAACACTTTCATTTCTAGGTGGTGCTTATTTGAGGTAACATATTGACAACTTTGTAGCCAGTGGCTCTTAAACCAGGGTCATCAAACTTGTTCATTGTGAAATAGGGAAGGGGATAGGC